AGGTACGCGCTTCAGCGAAGCGCGAGAAAGCGCAGGTGCGCGCAAGGTACGAAGGCGCGGGAACGCGCGCGCGTATTAGCGCGAAGCGCGGGAAAGCACGCGCGTGTAAGCGGAAATAAGAGAGACTAAACTTATGTGAAGATATAAGCAAGATAAAGGATGTGAGATGTGTTGTGCTAATGAATAGATTTCTACTGCGACTTTCTAAGTAGTAAGTACTAGGTAAAGTTGGGTGAAAAGTAAGGTAAATAATAGTATGTACTGCTGGCGCTTATATAGCGCGCCTAAGCGCGCTCATGCGGAGCCGAAGCGCTACCGAGTAGGTATGTAAAAATATATATGAGTGAGAAACTATGATAAAAATAAAGGTGGAACTATGTTAATAAAGGAAATGGAAATATACGCACTAGGGAGCTTGGTGGACAGTGGATGGATGCATCTGGATGGCTGGCGCTATAGGGCGCGCAAGCGCGGGAACGCGCGCGCGCGTATACATTGTGAAGCGCGGGAATGGTGCGCGCATGGCGCACGTTGCGCGGGAAAGCTGCGCGTCATATAGGAATCACTGTGGATGGTACACAGAGTGATGCTGCGAGTTGGTGCTGTATACTCCCTAGTGTAAAGCGCCATATCACACTATGAGATGCACGAGTCTCTACACCGCTCTGCGTCATCTGGTGAAATTGAATCTTCAGGCGCCACATCTCTGCCTCCTTGTCAAGCGCAAGGGCCTGGGCTTCGTGCACTCAGACATCTGTCTCGCGAAGGTGGATTTCTGCGTCCTTGGTCTCCTGCTCTCATTGATGGCTGGCGGCAGCTTGCATGGCCTCATGTGCGTGTGCCTCGCGAAGATACTCGTACTTCTTCATCTCGCGATGGTAGTCCTTCTTCACATCGAGCTTCGCGAGGAAGCGCTTGTGCTTGAGGTTATGGCATGATGTGACGTCTGATTGAATACTCCCAATCTCACCATTGACCCTCTCAACCTGCTCCTGAATGTCGGACTTTGCTTTCTTCTTCTTCGACCCTGTGGTCTTTGGTTGCGCTGATATTGAGGTCTGGAGGGTCGGAGATGCAGGAAAATCTGACGATGAAGTGTTGTGAGTCGTTGACGAAGGTGTCGACGAGCTACGAGTCATCCCTGGCGACGACGGTCTGCATCGTGCGTCGTAGCCAGAGGGCCCCTGAGCACCGAATGCTGCACGGCTGTCGTAGAAAAGAGTGGGTGACTTCTGCGTGATTGAAAAAGGGATGGGGTGGTTAGGAGGAGGAGACGGCAATGATGGGAGTTGTCATTTTTTCCCGGCAACCTTTGGAGGGCTGTTAAGGTCATAAGTAGGGTGCGGGGCATCAGTGTCCATATCGTCGTCATCCAAGTGGTCTAGTGCATTGCCCAGAGGGGCACGGAAAGCAGCGGAATATAAGTCATTGTCGTCGTCGTCAAGATCAGGAACATTGCCCATAGTGGTATCGAAGTCAGCATTTGGAGGTGCCGGAGGAGCAGGAGGAGCAGGAGGAGCAGGAGGAATAGGAAGAGCAGGGAAATGAGGAAAAGCAGGAGTGGGAGCAGTGGGAGGAGCAGAAGGAATGGGAGCAGGTGAAGGAATGGGAGCAGTGGGAGCAGGCGAAGGAATGGGAGCAGCGGGAGCAGGCGAAGGAACGAGAGCAGCGGGAGCAGCGGGAGCAGCGGGAGCAGCGGGAGCAGCGGGAGCAGCGGGAGCAGCGGGAGCAGCGGGAGCAGCGGGAGCAGCGGGAGCAGCGGGAGCAGCGGGAGCAGCGGGAGCAGCGGGAGCAGCGGGAGCAGCGGGAGCAGCGGGAGCAGCGGGAGCAGCGGGAGCAGCGGGAGCAGCGGGAGCAGCGGGAGCAGCAGGTGCTAGCAGACGAGGATCAATTTGTGAATCAGTAAATGGGTGGCTATGAGGAGGCGGAACATGAGAGGGGGGCTGAGCCCTGGTAGCACCCCTGGTATGTGCGGAGGGGCCAGCCCTGCCACGCGGACGTACTAGCGCATACATGTCACCAGCATGGTCAACGCCAGGCTTGGACGATGTAGTTTTTGCTGCAAAGGAGGGATTTGAGTGCCAGATGGCGTCAAGTTCCTTGTACCATGGAAATTCGCAACAGACTTCTTCTACAAATTTGAATCGGTCAAACCGCTAAACAAATAAATAAGAATGCTCACCTTGTAGATTTTTAGCGGAGGCGTCATCAAGAGGGACTACACCAGCACCGGTTGCGCTGAATTTAGCCTTAAGGGGCTTATATTTGTTTTTGAGACTAAGGATCTTATCAGCGCATAGTACAAAAAATATAAACATGACATACCTTGTGATACGGTTGTTGACAGAGTCACAAAATTTCTTCTGACTGTTTGCATATTCCAGCCCATATTTTGCGTGATGTTCGAAGATGACCCGAGCAATAACAGAGTAGATCTGAGACTTGTCCTTTCCCGAGGGACGAGCAGAAGAACTTGAATCCAGAGAGGGAGGTGGTTTCTTGCCATCAGAGTAGAATAAGATACGACAGTCGGGAGGGTGTTCGGTGAGCCAGGTGACCAAGACGTCAGTGAGAGTGTCATCACTCTGCCACTGAATCGTCAGCTTGGGTTTTGGATCGGGGGGAGGTGGTTGTATTTGAGATGTCGACGGCTCAGGATCCATCGCTCTAGAGCGCACTGGAGGGTTGCCTCCAAGTCGTGCAGAACAACAGAGGCGTTGTTGGCGAACAGCAGGCATATTTCGAACTCAGCCATGGTGCCGAGCCTGACTTCCAAATTTGCCGCATGCGGCTGTGCTTGTTTTCAAGCTTTAGCAAGTTTTCTGACACCTGAGGCAGGACGGAATCTGTCTGAAGCACAGATTGGTATCATATCCGCAGAAATATTTTGCATTGGTGATAGGATCTGTACTGCAGTAGTATTGGATATCAAATTTTACATATGTTCGTGATATGACATATAGCCAAATTGGGGGGACAATATCCTAAATCTGATGACATCACATATCTAAACTTTGAAATAAAATCTGTTTTGCTCTAAGATATGTGTCATATATAGAATTTAAGTATGAATATGGTGGCTGATCAATTTTAATTACAAATTTTAAATATGAACCCTATACATATTTGGTATAACAATTTCTTATTGGTCAGTCATCGAACAAATTCAGAATAATACAAACCAGATCTGCACATACAAAATATTATTGTCATAATTTCAATATGAGCATGGATCTGGTGCACAAACAAAGCCTTCCTTTCAAATTCTCAATATTGTGGTCTATATATTCTTCATTTGGAGATAAATCTGGTAGGGAATCAATTTCAACCACAATTTTTACATTTGTGCTCTATTTGTTTAGGTTCAACATCGAACAATAGATGTAAAATATTTTACAAATATGTTCCGCATATTAGCCTCCAGCCAATCCGGCAATGTCTCTGGTGTGAAGTGTTCAAAACCTATCGTGAGTAATACTACTGCTTACTAGTAACTACAGTACACATCCCAATAATGCATAAATAAATAAAACACAAACAAATCACTAGAAAATCATTCTTGGGCGCAAAAAATTATACATTAACAGCAATATATGGACCAAGCTCATTTCTATGAATGGACGACTTTGTGCATCTCGAAAAGATTGGATCCTGATTTGTTATAATTTTTTATGCATTATGCATTATTGGGATGTGTACTGTAGTAATAACTAGTAAACACACTCGGTTGTTGTTTGTTTCGAACTGCAGCGCTCAGCACTAAAGTACTAAAGGCTAATCTGTGGTGCGTTCCAACACCTCGGGTCCTTCAGATTTCCAATTTCGGCTTTCTGGATTTTGAGATGCATATGAAAATCCACCACTAAAGAATGTGAGTCTGCACAAGATATCCATTCTTGTTCGTCTCACTCATTGTCACAGTATGTTATCATCAGAGAACCGACAAGTCCTCCAGGCTGCATTACGTTGATTGCAGCGCCTTGACGTCGTAATATAACTTTATATATTGCTTTTAGCGATGAAAATAAAAGACATGCTCTGCCAGCATGTAATGGTATATCCAATACAACTTTCTCACCAGTCCTCTTATGTGCCATAGCGGTCCCGGTCTGCTCAAGGATGGACACGCTCCAGCGGTCAATACCAGCATCGAGCAAGAGGGATCAACAACTGTATGATACGGACATAAGCGCCTGGCCCACTCATGGTCAACCGGTCACACAGGGTCTGAGTGAAGGTCGTGTTCCATTCCACGGGATCTCCTGTTCCCGGAGCCAACAGCCACGAGGCTTGTGTGTAAGAACATGCTTTCTTCACGTTGTATAGAAGGTTTACTCGCAGTAAAACTGGTTTTTCCCATCCCTCCCTTCCTTGATCCACCTGTGTCCACTACAGCACGAATGATGCATAACACGTGCCCGCGATCCAGTTCTGCACCTGCGGATGACGACCCCCTGAACAACGAGTAAGTGGCGAGTTAGACTGAGATGATTATAAGCTCATGGACACACAGGAGTCCGATCGATGCGAATGCAGTAGTCGAGGAATCTGCCATGTCCATTGAGATCGACCTTGATAACACTAAGTGAATGTCGTACATTCAGCATGGTATACTTGATGACTGACTTTTAATATCTCAAAGGTCAAGCATCCTGGAGCAGGTCCGAGATGAGAGTAAGCCGAGTAACGTGAGCGAGGAACGTGTGGCGTCTATTGAGGAAGGCCTGTCCAGGACTATGTAAATATTAACCAATTAGTGTGGTACATTTGACGCTAACTATATCATCTCAAAGGTCAAGCACTCTGGAGCAGACCACGGACAATGGGATCGAGCCGAATGAAAATTCTGCGATGTCCACCGAAAAAAACCTTGCTAAGATGTGAGTGTCAACTCATCAGCACGGTACACTTGACATCTCACCATATCTTCTCAAAGCTCAGATACGCTGGCACAGATTCTCGATGTCCTTAAAGAATCGACTATCGCAGAAGAACGCGGAAAAGATGACAATTCAAAGTTTTGGGCAACGTACAAGAAAGTTTCGACTGAGCACGACGACGACTTCCTCGATCGGGCCAATGATGATATGGGCATTATTTTGACTTTTGTGGGTCTCTTTCTACGTATCTCAATGTAAGTCTCACAAGCGCATTAGGCTGGTCTGTTCTCAGCGGTCAACTCCACCTTCATCGTCGGAATGCAGCCTGATCCAGGAGACACTACCAATGCCCTCGTCCTCCAACTCATACAGATAATTGTGAATAGCCCAAATTCCGTACCTGACATCAGCACTCTTTCCTCATCTACGGGATTTTCCTCTTCGACGGTCTGGACACAAACACTTGCCTACGCTAGCCTCGCATTTAGCGTCTTGGCTGCGTTTGGGGCTGTCTTAGGCAAACAATGGCTGAACTCCTATAAATCAGTTCAAGGACGAGGGTCTCTCGAAGAGCGTGGCATAGAGAGGCAGATGAAGCTAGATGGACTAGAATCTTTCCGCCTGCAGACCATCTTGCGGGTATTCCTGGTGCTGCTCCAGATTTCGCTCCTGCTCTTCGGCCTTTCGCTAAGCGCCAACCTGTGGCTCCAGCAAACCACTATATCCAGCGTCATTATCTGCACCACAGCTTTCGGTATTCTGTTCTACGTGGGCACTTTTCTCGTGTCGGTGTTGCGTCCGGATAGTCCTTTCCGAACGCCAGCCTCGGAGCTATTGGCAACCATCTGCCAAAAGATTTATCCAGGCAAATCTACATCGATCCGTCACGCACTCGCCAAATCGTCCGCCATTCGCTGGATACTGGAGACATCAACGAACCCTGAAATTGTCGAGGCTGCGGCTACGATTGTACCTTGCGTGCAATGGCCCCCGAACCTTGATGCTTCAGCAGCCTTCGCACGTTTACGTGATAATTTCGTAGCGTGTCGTAACAGACCAGAGCTATATGTGAAGTATGGCAAAGCTATGGCCCATCTTTGCATCCAGCCGGTGAAAATCGACAAGGAACTTCTGGGGTTTCTTTGGAATAAAGATTTTAACTCAACCCGAAGTCGTTTCATTCGCGATGCGTTCATGGCTGGATGTGCCGCCTATAAGCAGTTCAAGAGTTCACGGGAAGACAATGCTCGCCGACGGAAGCATCAGGCCAATGCACGCACTGCGCTGAGAACAATGCTTGTCCACGGAATGCGCGATAAACTTTCACGTCCAGACGATGAACACTTGATTTGGTATGGTGATCTGCGCTGGCGTCACAGCGACGAGCGTGAGCCCAGCTGTGAAAATTTTAATTGGCTAGTAGATTACCTGGAGGATGACACAAACACAGATGATGAAACAGAAGGCGACGCTTTGCTTGCACTGAGCGCCATGCGTAGACTAGGGAGCCCCGCCAAACGACCGTCTTACATCAAATCGCTTATCCGCTGTATGCACTCCAGCAAATCTCCCCGAGCCCGGCATACGGCACTTAGAGCCGTATTTGAAGCTCGAGAAGAACTAGCTTCTATGACAAGCGCCTCGGTGCCACAGGGTGTCGATGCGCAACTCCTGGATGGGCTTTCTTCGGCTCTTTTGAGTTCTGTACGTCCAAATGACTACCACACAATCCACGACACTAGACCCGACGGCTCTTTCCGCAAAGATCGAGACTTTTATTACATCCGCCTCATTTATGCCCTGACAGAGAAAGACGAGTGGTGTCGACGTCTGATCCGTGATGGTCATCTTGAATGGTGCATTTCTCTGGTTAACGGTATCTGTCGCGAGGATTATTTGCGGGTCGGGTCCTGCCTTCTTGTGATCTTTGACCGCGTCAAGTCCTTGGACAAGGATCTTCCTTTCAGTCCTGCTGAGGAGAGAAGGCAGTTACCCATCGCAAACGCATGGGACACAGCGCAATATGCTTCACGGGACGACCCCTACGTCGATGGAATACAAGCCCTCGTGACAGTGACGAGGCTGCAATTGTCAGCCTTGGATGATAGTGTTCCGAGGGAGTGGTTCGCAGATCTTGCTGCAAAGGTGCATAGAGCTTTGGTCAATCTGCAGCAGAAGCAAGTGTTCCATGTGAATGCTGGTATAGCTCAGGCTGAAATTGACGCTGCAATATCCTCTATGAAGGACTTGCACACCGACCTGGGTCATATGGTGGAGGAATGGAACACATAGCAAAGGGACGATGAAGCTTCTAGATCGTGAAAGACATGCATCCGTAGCGAAATACTTTTACGTTAGTAACCGTGTAGATTGGCGTCTGGTTCATGAGATGGATGTCGTTTAAGAATCATTGTCTTGATTAAATCATGGGACGATCAATTGGGGAGGGTAAAAGTACAGTAACAGAAGATCACAGAACGCCTTCGGCATCAGTCCTGATCGATTCTGAACTCCAAGAGCATCGTCCCTACAAGATCATAGGTTTGGGTGAGCACTAGACCTGCGCTGGCCCTGCAAATTATAACAAATCAAACATCGTCAATGTATCCAGGCATGGAAGGAACTTGCCCAATGTCCTTGAATTCCTTCAAGGTTCGCTCCTTGCCATTCAAAACAAGCCACATGGCCATGTCTATTTGGTATGTTGTGTGACTACCGAAGTTCAGTAATGTAGGTTCGGGCGCCTTATGATCCTGAATGTATGATTGAACCTTAGCCATCAAGCCACACTCTAAACTTACCTCACTAGACTCGTTAGCCCCTACGTCAGGCCCTTCGAATGCGCGCGAGAGCACGCACTCATCTATCACATGATATCGAGTCTGAAGTAAACCTCACTTTGAAATACAGCCGACTCACGAATCAATACTCGGCTGTTTGGTCCCATTGCTTTGCGAACATTATGGAGAATCACCATCGACTCCTCGTCCGGCCAGTCATGAATGATGCTCCTCAACTTTATGAATTATTGAGCAGTCCGCATTGAATGGGAACAAATTCAGCACTTACGTAGTAAACATCCTTTCCGACGACGGGCGACTCCTCCAAGAAATTCAATGGGACGAACTCTACACGCCCGTCGAGCAGTACCTCAGGAGCATTTGTCTCCCATGTCTGATCAAATATGAATATAACTTGTTTGCTATAGATGTCCGGACTCACATTTCTTGACAGCTTTATAGTTTCTGGGAGATCCTGATTGGTTATTCTGAGATGAGGAAACATTTTCGCCAGAGGAATAGACATTGCTCCGATTCCAGATCCAACATCCACCACAGAGGATACGTTGTCCCAAGGGTAATCTTATTGCCCGCTTCAGTCATGCTGACGGTTGAAAAAACAGTGATCACTCACGATGCGGCATCACAGACAAGCCCTGGATCTCAGAATAGCCCATCATGGCTTTTTGAAATATCTGTGTATAAGATTCTGTGAGCCGCCAGTCAGTCATGAACTGATCATTGGATCTGCACGCACATCGCGTGCCTCATCCTGTACAATATGGTAAGGCATGAAAGGCCAGTATGATGACTAAAACTCACGTCCATAACCCAGAAACTGTTATTTTTGCCTTCCTTTCTGAGAGCGAATGCTCGTGGGGCTCTTTCAACCTTGTGCGACCTTGCAAACTCTTGGTCGACCATAGTCTCATAGAGAACCGCAGCATATTTTGGGATCTCTCGCTGAGTTTTTATCAAAAACCCGACGTTATTTGTTGTCTTGAGCACGAGGGAGATTCGTGTGTTTGTGAATACGTCTCGCTTAACTATGGAACGCCAAAGGCCTCAGAGAGAATTATCAACGGACAGTATGATGCATATTACCTTCTTTGAAGCAACCCCTGAGGGCCAAAACGCGCAACACGCGTGCGATCTTGGTCTTATCGAGGTTGACTGCGTCAGCCAATACATCCACACTAAGACCTTCCGGGTGTTTGTCCAAGACGTCTGCAATACGTGATTGCACAGCGACGTCTATGCATGCCCAATTGTAATTATTTACAAACTAGGAAGATGAGCACAAGGCATACGGGCCATCTATAATCGGCACATACATTATATACCGTGTGTTGGGGGGGAGCCAGTATTGTGTTCAGTTGCTCGCATGCACCTTCGAGCAGCCTGATTGCCTTTCTGAGGGCAAGTGTATCTATCGCAAGATCGAGGGGGTGGAAGGTGCCTGCATCGACACCAGGGACTCCATGTTGAGTGTTCTTGTATTCCGCCATTGCTTTGCGTGCGGAGGAGTTGATGATGTCCAAGAGGGCTTCAACCTTGAGTTCATTTGGCTCCATCATTTTGGGACTGTGTGTGATTCCTCATCAGCCGTTCAGGTTTTATATTCCTTAACCAAATATCATCTAGCTGGATTCCACGGCAAAGACATCCAACATTGGGTATGTGGAAAAAGATCGAAGCTAAACATAGTCTGACCACTCACACAACCTAACTTCTGACTCGGATGACACTGGTTGTCACTCGCGTAACTGATAAGAGCACACGGCACATCTAACCTGAACGACACCCGTGTTACTTGAAGCGAGCCAAGGTTCAGGTAAGTATGATGCTGGCATTTGCAGCGTGCATACTACAGTAATCAGCAAGAGGACGTCATCCACCCTGTGAGGTGTATGTCCGTATCATCAGTCACTGGTCAGTTACCTATCATTTTTGAAAACACCACACTGACGGTGATCATGACTGACCTATAGCTTAATACTTATGGCGCTTCAATTTGCTACTATGACTTATTTGCAAGGAAGTCCGACGTGATCGTCTGAAATTCTCCACCACGCTGCTGCAATAGCAAAATGTACCAAAAGGCTGTCCAAGGCAACCTGGTGGAGTAAACGTGAGTTCAAAATATGGGATGCTAAGACAGGCAAGCTGCTTGCCACACTAGAGAACAAACGGGAAGACTCATAGTTCGGAGCTGGACCTGGACGTCGGATGGAAAGAAGTTTATATCCGGTTCACATGGCCAAATTAAGATATTCAACACCGCCACTTGAAGTCAGTCACTTGGCAGGCGATCGCGATCACACAAACTTCATCTTCTTGTCTTTCAATGAACGTCTCTTTGCAAGTACATCACGAAATAAAACGGCGCGTGTGTGGAATCTAGACACCAACCTCCCAGTTGGTCCACCCCTCCAGCACGATGACTGCGTACGCTGCGCATCGATTTCCGCTGATGGCAAGCTGCTGGTCACCTGGTTGCCGAAATAAAAACACATATACATGGGACATTCACGCCATCATCAAAGAAGCAGGCCTTGAAGACATCCTTCAACCTTTATCTGATGTAAACCTCATGGTTCTCCAGTAAAAACTACGCTAATCTCCCACTCGCAGGTTGCAGCTCAAGAGTCATCAACGAATGTATGTGATTTGTCTCTCAACCTTCCCCGGTGGATGCTACACAGGCTGAGGATGATGACCTTTCTCCAGGCTTTTTCGACGGCGTGACAGATGGCGCTAATGTGCGTCATCAGCGTTTTTAATCGTTTCCTGTTCTGACATCTTGATCTCAGTCCTTTGGAACTTACGCTAACGTTCCTCTTCCCGACGTCCTCGCCCTCCCACATCCTCTTTGGGGAGCGCGAGAGCGCTCTCCGGTTGCCTTTCGTCGCTCCAACCTAATAAATCAACTGAACTCCGGCCACGGTCTATCTTGTCTCGGTCCTCGTATCGTCGAATTTGCTGCAGTAAAGGGCAGAGAGGTGCATATCTCTTCGCATTGCTATCATCGTGGTTTAATGATTTCGGTCCAGGTTATATTCGCTGCCCCTCCACCGCCAAAAAAACAGTAGCAAAGCCAATCGCACGGCCAGGGGTCATCAACGACACAGCCTGCTCCTACTACACCACGTTCAAGACATGCATATTCACTACCCGTCCGATTGTTGGGTCATCTTGTGCTTTTTCTTTGCTGCGCATCCCCTCAACACGCCAATGCCAAATCACAACCAACGCAGCAGCAGCAAGATCGATGGACAGATCAGGCCCAGCCCCAGGCGTCATCATTGTAGATTCAGTCTACTGCCGCCTCGACATCTACGACCCCTGCTCCTGCGATTAGTCCTACTGCGCTAAGTGCAGCAAGCGCGTAGCCACGGCCCCTTCTATGGCAGACTCATTTCGTTATTTTTTCTGTTGTGCAACTCCCCTCAAATCGATAGGCCAAATTCCAAACCCACCGCCTTTGTTTAGGTTTGGAGTGAAATAAACAACCACCTTCCTGCCTTCCCTGACACATTTCTAAATCTGAGCATGATTATCATCCTTCGCCAAGCTTTCCAGCGCCTCGTCAAGGATCTGACATCCGTTTTCATCTGGACTTGATACACAAAGCAATGCCCTCGTCACTTCGCTCCGAGCATATCCATCTAGTTGCACGTGTAGGGTAAATGAGATTCTGAGAACATGGAAGCAGTGGGATTTTCGAATGTGTCGAACGGGCGTCCTGTGCTAGATTGAGCTGTGGTCTGCTGCATGTTCATCAAAATAACGTCGATTTTTCCCTCGACATAAATAATGTCCATAGGTATATATGCTAGCGCTACATCTTTACATCGATGCTTGGTATGCGAAATAAATAACTGGAACATGCGATGGAATGTCGGGTGTTCAACAGGTGCGTTAGCGAGGTGAATAAAGAAACGAAAATCTATACATGATACTATATTGTGACACGGCGTCGCAAATTGGTGGCACGCCTAACGCGGGCCCGCACGATGCGTAAAGCAGACGCCCGCCTAGCCGTACTATGCAATACTCCACTTACTCACCGCAGCCTGCACCAAGCGCCCCATGTCCTCACGAGCTTGTTTCTTTGCGCTGTCAGTGATACCTACGAGTGCATCGAGTGCGCGCGGCGATGTTTGTAGCGGGTCGAACTCGAGGACGTGTCCATCGGAGGTTGAGATCGCGACGACTGCCCGGGCAGAGGACGAGGAAGGGAGGGACGAGAGCGAGCTTGAAGACATGAGAGAAGACGTAGCGGGTTTAGACGCCGGTGACTCCGGTACACGAGCTGCTGTGCGTGAGTTGGCGCGTGAATGCGTGCGGTTATGGTTTTGAGTTTGAGAGTAGGCTTGTGAGTGGGTTTGTGAGAAGGTGGGTTGGGTGGAGGATGAGGGAACGAGCGAGACGGATGGATCACGCCGTATGACTATGCTGTTTACGCGTCGCAGAGTCTTGCCTTGCCCTTGCATATTTACCTGCGTCTCCTTTCCTTTGCCTTTGGTTTTCACATCCATGTCAGAACCCTCCTCTTCCTCTTCAGCAGCA